TGTCGGAATCAGCGCAGGCCAATGAAAGTGAGGGTAAACCTTTTGATTTCGATTTAGCCAAATCGCTTTTAGCTGATGCTGAAGGTTCAAAACAAGTGCTTCCAAGACTTCATGACATTGTTATAAGAAGGATGAGCAGAATGCTATTGAACATAAACTTAAACAGTCCGCTGAGGAGATGCAGGAGGTTTTGACAAATTTTTTGCAGGTAAGAACTAAAAATTGAGAATGAATTTTTTGCATAACTGAACATTTTGGCATACCTTAGAAAAGATTGATTGAGTAAGTGCGGGTACGAATTTTCGTCGACGGAATGTTTTTTTCAATTTTTCAAAATATTTGTTTTTTTTGCTCCTTCATATTACTCTCTGCTTATAATAAGATAACATAACACATTTATTCATTAATAGGCCAATAAATAATATATGAATATTATTATATAATTATTATATATATTTTGGTTTAAGCGGTACTTATTTTAGGGGCGGTGCGCGCGTTGCGCTTTAACCTCGATCGACGCGTCGTTTCAGGTTAACAATTCACGCAGCTTTATGCGAAAGCCCGGACTTTAGAAAACTACTTTATTATTGAGTATAGACTTATTATTAGAGAATATTGTTTGGTGAATTCAACTAGCACCTTTTATTAATAGATGTAACTATTTTTTTTACAGAAAGTTTGTAACAAAAATTGAATTCAGAGCAAAAACTAGGCATTCTCTGCAAAAAATCGAAAATGAAAATTTTTGCATTACTTCACGTTTCGAATGTTTCTGAACATTTTGGCATAAATTATTATTAAAAGCTCCATCATTACCTACTGCTAATTATGAATTTTCATTTAAGGGTTCTTTGGACAGCATGGTGCGTTGCGCAATCGATTCCTGCCCAAGTATTTTATCATCACACGAATGCTACCAGGATTTGATCAGATCGGGTCAACCAAGAGCCTTAATCAGTTCAGATTTTGTGAAGACTGTTATTGTCGACCAGGCTGGTGCAGAAATAATGAATCGCGTCAAGTAAGTTATCCTTCACCATTGATAATGGTAACTTCAAAATAGTATAATCAAAATATATTACTGTTTTTTTTTACAGTGAAGTCAATCTGTCAATGGCAGCTCACGTTTCCGATCGTGTAACTGATGAAGTTATGGAAGCTTTATCGAAAATTCAGCGGGTTTTAGCGAATCCTAACAGTGGACTGGATTTGTCTGATATGCTGGTTCGGCCGAATACACCAGATGTGCTCAGGCCTCGAGGACCTACACCAACTGTTCTTAGACGACCTATAGACACATCACCGACGGTAATTATAAATATTTTAATAATAGAAAAAATTACATATCGGACAAGAAGCAAACTTTTTTAATCTGCAATTAGTTAAAATATATCTTTAATTGTACATGATGAAATTAATTTTTTTTTTATCATTGTTGGACTGTGCAGAAACTGGAGTATTTGAATCTTGTGAGTAACTAAGCATGTTTAGTAACCAATGATAATTCCACAAAACAATGCAAATAGTTTCATGTTTTATAACATAAATATCCTTTTATTTTTCTGTTTTTTTTTCTAGGCTACTCCACATATGATGTCCAAACGGAAATCAGTCCACGGTCGCAAACTTCGTCCAAAATCAGTCCTGGACGGTCTTGGAGCCTTTACAGCAGATTCGCATTTTAGTTCCTCCGCAGGCGGAGGAGCTCCTGATTTGCTTCCGAAGATTTTACAACAATCGCATGATAGATTGGACAGGGTTACAGAGCTGCCGAGTAGTTCACATCAGCTTCAACATTTGGTTAAAGGTAATAGAAAATAAATTTATATCTTATATATAAAATACTCGTGACATAAACACAAACCTCCGAAACGGCTTCACCGATTCATACCAAATTTTATATGCGTATTCAGTAGGTCTGAGGATCGTAGGTAACTATCTGTTTTTTATACCCCTAAGTGATAATGGTTCTCTTAATTTTTTCGAACGATTTTTCATACGACCCAAAATTTTCACTTTTTTATCACTAACACCTATTTTTTATAGCTTATTTTTTTTGGAACGATTTTTTTGCTTTTATTTTTTTTATAATGTGACATTAAAAATACATACAACTCAAATTTTTTACTTTTTTATCACCAACCTATTTTTAGGCATAATTTTAGTTCAGATATTTGATCTTGAAGAAAAGCTTAAATTTTTCTTTAAAATAAAATTTATTATTATTAATGGTTGCTCAATCCTAATGTTGTTTTAAATTTTAGGGTCGAATTTTTTATTACAATTTTTTTTATGCGGAATTGATAAAATATATACAAATCTTCAAATAACTATTTATTTTGATCAAGTGTTATCCAGACCTAACATTTTTTTAAATTTTTTATGAATTTTCTTTATTTTAATTTTCTATAATTTGAAATTGAAAAATACATGAAACTCTCTTTACTTCGCGCTACAATTTATTTTTATCAAGGGTTATCCAACCCTATTTTTTATATTTTGGAATCAATTTTCTTTTAGTTTTAATTTGATTTTTATTTGACATGATTTTAGTTGAGATTTTTTTGAGTATATGAGAATGTTTAAAATGTTACTTTAAAAATCAATTTATTTTTATTAAGGGTTGTCCAACCCTAACACATTTTTTCGATTATGAGGTAACTTTTTTTATTGTATTTTTTTTTTACTTCAAAATACTATTTATTTTTATCATGGGTTGTCCACCCTCAATATTTATTTAGATTTTGGAACCAATTTTCTTCATTTCAATTTTCTATAATTAAAAATTAAAAAATACCTGGAACTCTTTTAACATAAAAAACTGTTAATTTTTATCAACCACTTCTAACTTTTTTTAAAATTTTGGAATCAATTTTCTTTCAATTTCAATGTTCATAATACGGAATTAAAAAAAGCACACAACTCTAAATTTTCACCCTCGTTCCACAAATCTCTATTTCATAATAGCCATTTTAGTGATCGAATAATTTTTTATCACGATTTCAGTCAGAAAGTATTTTTACTGACCTTAAACGAAATTTACTTAAAATAAAACAATTTCTTTTTATCAGGGGTTATCCACTTTGTGAAAATATTTCTCGTTCCGCACAAACAGTACATAGTTTATAAATGGTTTGCATAAAGAGCCATTTTTGCAAAAAAAAAGACAGAGAGATTGAATATTAAAATCTGAATATACAACAGTGTTTTATAGGGAACTATAGGTACCATACAAATCTATGGCAAAGCTGTAAAATTTTTCTCTATCTCAATTTTTTTTTCAATCTTAGTGAAATCACTGGACATGCAACATAACATATAATTTAAAAAAAAATAATTATCGGATTTTGATTCGCAATTCAAAATTTAATGAATTAATAAAAAGCGCGGTAATAATATATCAAAATCTTGAAACGTTAAATGTGCCAATCAGTTTCAGAGTAGGTTGGCACTTGCAAAGACATATTAACGGACATTTATATGTGGTGTGCTTTGCAGTGGGTAAACTATTCATATGTTTTTTTCTTAGCTGCTCCTTTCACTTAAGCACTACATTTGTAGTCAGTTTGTTACTTGTATACTAAACATTTTATGGTAGAAATATTTTTATGGTAAAACAACGTTTGCCGGGTCAGCTAGTATATATTTAATTATTATTTCTAGGTCGTCCCAAACGTGCAAAAAACAAAGCCCCAACCCGACCCCTCGTAGCCTGCCTAGATGGAAACAACAGTACGTGCAGCGAATTAGGCGAAGGACTAGATTCGTTCTTCCCGCCGTCTTCGGCGTCGGCTTCGGTGTCTTCGGCGACTCCTACGCCTTCGCACACGCCTCCGATGATTGCAGGGTCGCCTACAACCAGCGAGGGCTGCTCCACCCTTTCTTTGGCCGAAAGTCTTAAGGACGATGGAACCGTTTGCAGCAGCAGCGAAGCAGTCGATGGGGATGAAGGAGGAGTTAGGGATAGGACACCGACTATGGATTCTGGGGTGTTCGATGTTAAGAAGAAAAGTTAGTAGACAAAATGAACACACACATGGCCTTATAGAAGTTACTGAAATAGGTTGTCAAATATCTCCCTTCCGCCTTTTTGTATTATAAACCAATAGCAAAAAAGCGGAAGGGAGATATTTGACAACCTAATATTACGGACTTACGACAAGTAGTTTAATTCTTAGTTTGAGAAAATGAGTAGTTTTTTTTGACGTTTGTTAAAATTAAAATTAGACGATTTACTTGGCATAACAATAGAGTACCTGGTCTTAATAAACATTCTAAAGCATTATAGTACTATGCAGGGCCGGTCCTGCCTTGCATGCGATGCATGCAAAAAATGCGGGCGCAAGTCTTAGGGGGCGCTAAAACGAGTTTCGGAAATTAAATTTATAATATAATAGGTTGTCAAATATCTCCCTTCCGCCTTTTTGTATTATAAACCAAGAGCAAAAAAGCGGAAGGGAGATATTTGACAACCTAATATTATTTATATTTTTTATATAATTATTTATATAAAGTCTAGAATACTTAGTACATTATAATAAACAATCTAACTTAAGTAGGGATACAAAAAGCACATTTATTTTGCAATGTGATATCAGTAGAAACAATTAATCGATTAATAACTCTGCAAATTAGTAAATAACAGCTCTGTTTTTTGCTTAATCTACTTATTCAATATTTTCTCAGTTTGAAGTTACCGTGGAATCGAAAAAGAAATTATCTAGTGTTCAATCCCGTAAGCGCAAACCTACGGAAGATTAAATTAATTATTGGGCATTATTGATGAAACATTGCGAGCTGATTTAGTTAAAACGAAACTTTTTAAAACATATAAACAAATTATAATCGGGAAAATATAAAATGGGGAGTCAGTGCTTAGAAAATGACATATTTATTCCGGGAAATTAAATTGTAACTTTTTTTTTATTTGCAAATGTCTGGCTTCCGATGAATTTTGAATGTTGATGATATGTGGTTAGGGTTATGGAAATGGAACAAATATGAAAAATGGAAGCAAAATTTACTTTGGAACAAAAATCTTAAGTCTTGTTTTGTACCTAGTGGTGTCCATACTCTAAATTTAATAATTATTAACTATACAGAAATAATACATATCAAATATAATAAGTTTTTTTTTAATATAGTTAGAAATGTGTAATTTCTATGCATTTTTTTACTGATTTTTTGACAATACTTCTAAAATACGTTAAAAATTTAACTTCAAAACTGATACTCTGAATATGACCGGAGGGCACGGATAAATACAATTCGGATCTTTTGATATCTGTTTATATTTTGGATATTGTAAATAATTAAATTATTGAAAATTAAATTAAAATTTAAAAAATCCAACATGAAATACGAGTGTTATGATTGAAAATGAAAAGCTAGTTTTTTTTAGCTCTCTTGGCATGATTTGCTCAATAGAATAACTCGCATAATAAATAAGTAAAATGTTTCAAAATCCAAATATTAATATTGCACATACGTTAAAAATAATTGAAAATTTAAAAATATTTGATTATAATCAACCCGCGAATCGCCTCGATTTTCTAAATAAATTTAAAATCAACCTATTTTATACGGTTTTAGATTATATCTGTTTGTTTGTGTACTAAATCCAGAATAATTAAAAATTAATTTTTAAAAAATATGTAAATATTCATATAATTTTAATGACAAACTGTTAGAACAGTTAAAATTAATAGGGGGGGGCGCTATAAAAAAAGTCAAAATTAGACTTTTGATCGACGTTTTCTCAAAAACGCCTGAACCGATTTCAGAAATTTAAAAGCTATTTGATGTATCTCGATGAGGACTATCGTTTGTCAGTTTTGTGTTTTCTTTGTAATTTGAAAAAAAGTGTTAAACTTTTCGACCACATTTAATCTCAAACTACCGAACCGATTTTAAAAAATCAAAAACTGTTCGAAATATATTATTTGGGAATGATACTGATTAGTTTTAGGTGAAAATCTACCGAGCCGTTTTCTTGTAATTAAATGTTGAAAAAAAAATTAAGACGATTTTTATGAAACTTTTTTTGGCGATATATATCATGGTCTTATAGAACTTCTGAAATATTACGGCCTTACGACAAGTAGTTTAATTTTTAAAATTCATCAAAGTTTGAGAAAATGAGTAGTTTTTTTGACGTTTGTTAAAATTAAAATTAGACGAGCATACTAAACCATTAAAGTCCTACGGAAACTGGTTCAATTATAAAAATTATTGATTTTTGAAAATTTGCTCTTAGAAAATACTCCGAGTTAACGCGTTCGTTTGTTTTCAATTATGTGTAATAAATCCACTCGGAATACTTTTAATCACTCATGAATTAATTTATATTTCATTGATTAAGTCGATTATTTACACATATCGAGAAGTTCATGTAACTTGCCTCAAGTCAAAATACCAATACCAACTAGTTATTTTATCATTTTTTCTAGATGTGACGGATTTGATAAATTCGCAACCACGATCTTTATCAATTGACAACTTAGAAAGTCATTCTCCAGCATCGGGACGGCATTCTTTAGGAAGTTCGCCTATTAATGTGGTATCCAACGCCTTTCTGTCTCTCGATTGCAAAGGTAGGTAACAGCTAGTATTTCTCGCTGTAATTAGTATATTAATACTAATATTTTATTTATTTATTTTGCAGTTTTGGATGACAGATCTTCTGCACATCATAGATCGGACGATACTTCTAACGACAGCGCGAGTAGCACTACGAAAAGTACTGAGACGACTGTTACCAGAAATGGTAGGACTCGAATACATATCTAACTACTAACTGGATGTTGCATGAATTAGAGTATTTAGTTGTAATCAAACATTTAGAAAGAATTCATATACTAACATTTTAACCATTTTACATATGCATAAACTAGTGGTGTATGGCATCGTGCCTTAAGGCAATTTGCTGGAGCTTCGCTTCCCGTACCGTAACGAAATGTTCGAGGAATTTTAAATGTTTTCAAATAGATTATTATAAGTACTGTTACTTTAATTTTTATTATTTTAAGACGAAATATTAGGTTGTCAAATATCCGCCTTTTTGTATTAAACCAAGAGCAAAAAAGCGGAAGGGAGATATTTGACAACCTATTATAATAGGTCCTTTAATAACGTGATCGATTTTTTAAGGATTTTTGGACCCACCCCTTCCCCCTTGTTGATACGTTGTGATATTTAAAATTACACCCCCTTTTCCAACAAACATCACGAGTATTTTTAGTTACGAGAAAAAATCGTAAAATTATTAATTTTTTTTGAAAGCGTTTGATTTTTTTTTTAAAAATAGCTAAAAAATAAATACATGTGATAATTTACTATACACCTCCCTGTCCCACGTGATAATTCGTGATTTCGTAAAAATCGAAAATATTTTTTTTTATAATTTTACGTTTCAAAGGTTTCTGAACATTTATGTGTGTGTGTGTTCGGATACAAATTTTTGTCGACAATTTTGGAAACACGGTTCAACCGATTTGAATGATTCAAAAAACCTGCCGATTAGTGTTTTATTCAAAGGCAGGTCCAGCCGTTTCGGAGATACTAGGCAAAAAGTGCCAAAAACGTTCATTCAGTTTTTGAGAGAACGGAGCATCCGATTTGAATTATTCAAAAAACATTATATTTGCATTGATGAAATGAAGAATTGATTAAATTTTTGGTTAGGTAGGTCCAGCAGTTTCGAAGGTATACAGAAAAAAGTACCAAACAAAGATATTTGGCGGTCAAAAATGATCACTAGACGTGTGCACATCAAATTATCAGATATTTTACGGAGAATTTCAAAATGAGTACTGATTTTTTTTTACAATTTTTTTGGGTTCCGTACCAAAATATTTAATTTTTAAAGTTAAACCAATTTCAAAATTCTCAAAAGATTTTTTTTTTCAAAATTTTCAAAAATTTACAAAGTTTATACGTTATATATAACCTTTAAATTTACAATTATGTTTAAAAATGAATGTATTTTATATGCGTTATTCTGCTCGTAAGAAATATATCCTCAGATGGATTCATTTGGCAATTTTTGTTAATGTATATATTTTTTAATTACAATATTTATTACAACTGTTAAATAATTAACATCTAGTAATATTGATAAATAATAACATAAATTTAAATAAATAAGAGAGCAAAGGATAGAAATTACATGAAAATAATATCCGTAATATGATGATTTAATATAAAATAAATGCAAATAATAATAAAAATAAAATTAATGAATAATATAAATAAAATTTCTGAATAATAAAATAATACTAGAAAAACAATAAAATATAACAAAATAACAATAATAGAAATAGTGAGATAATAATAATAAAAAGAAGAAGAAGAAGAATATTAATGTTATTGTTAATATAAACATTCTTAAGTGTTTTATGCTATAACGTCGTCACTGTATATTAGATGAGCAATAAAATATATAGTATTTATAATTATCTATTTGAAAATATTTAAAACAATTATTAATAATCATTGAACAATATTTACTGATTACTGGCTTTTTTCTTTCGAATATTTAATTGTGGTACGGGAAGTTCCAGCAATTTGCCTTACGGCACGAAGCCATGCACTAATAGTTAAAATATGTATAGAAATTAAATTTATGTAAAAGCATGTTGTTTGTACTATAACCTTTTGCATGCTACTAATGTATGTTTTTGCTTTTTTTAAAAAAACCTTATTAATCAATATCGATTGATATTCTTTATAACAATCTCTTTAATCATTTATTAACTACATTAATTTCTATGATTTAGTTCGTAAGATTTTGTACTGTAGCACTTAATATACTAATCGCATTAAATATACAGCTTCGTAATTGTAAGAAATATATCCTCAGATGAATTCATTAGGCATCTCTTGTTAATGAATACATTCTTAAGTGTTATGTTGTTTTATCTATACCATGTTGTTATCCATAAATTGAAAAAAAAAACTCAGTATTCAATCTAATACATGTGTGTTTTTTTAGTTTAATGTATATGGCAACTTTCACTAGTCATCAGAAAATCAAATCATCGAATCGAAATTCATGGGGCAATTCTGACGTAACAGAGCTCATAAAATAGCGTTGTCATGGTAATGATCTCTCATGTTTGTTCTTGGTATTGAAAATTATGAAAATGTCTATACATTTGCCTATCTATGTATTTTACATATAAACATGCAAGGAAGAATCTTATGATAACTGCATCATCTAGAATTCTGTTATCATAACATTATTCCTTGCTTGTTTATATGTAAAATATTTTATTAAATAGATAGGCATTTTCATAATTTTCAATACCAAGAACAAGCATAAGAAAGCGTTGCCATGATAACCATGTTCCTATGTATAACCATTAGGGAATGCAATACCGGTATACCGGTATATCGAATTACCGGTAAACCGCCCGATTTTTCGACGGTATTTTTACCGGTATTTACCCCAAAAATACCGGTCATTTCGGTATTTTTACATAAGCGCTATTTGATACATAATACACTAAAGTTTATATTTCTCGGAACAAATTTATCTTTAAATTCCATAATCGCATAAACAGCTATATCTTCAAGTGATTCTATAGGATAAACAAATGTCAAATATTATCTCAACTCGTCATTAAACTGAATATTTATTGCTTTACTAAGGGCTTCATATCATGTTACAATAAATAGAATTGGACTGATAGATAATGATGTTTGTTTCATCTTTTGTAAAAATGTAACGGTTTTTTAAAGTGATATTTGCGCCAAAATGGTTGTCAAATATCTCCCTTCCGCCTTTTTGTATTATAAACCAAGAGCAAAAAAGCGGAAGGGAGATATTTGACAACCTAATATTTTATATCATACTGATTACCCCTGCGTAATCTTTATTTTTTTTCTTACTTTATACATAATAATTATGATAATTACTAAATATTTTTGCTTCTTATTACAATTATAAAATATTATTTTTCGAAAACGTTTCGAAGTTTGAAAATACTATAGAAGCATCACGTTGTTTTAAATAACAATACTCAACAATTATAGTAACTTATTATTTATCTCGACAAAGTATACGATCTTAAATTAGTGTAGAAAAATATTTTTTTTAAAATATTGGAGATTATGCTAATTTAACACATCGGATACAGACAATACAGTTTATTATAATAATGTAATATGACCTTTTATGAGTTTTTGGTCTTTCTTACTCATAAGTTTGTTTTTGGTGAAAAGTACTCAATATACTCGATAGTGATAATGAATTAATTAAATGGGATATAATTTTGTTAAATTATTATTTAAAAAAATAAACGTACTGTTTTATTTTATTGTTTTTATTATGTAGTTGAATATAGTAGTAGTTGTATATACATTTATAGTTGTACTAGTAACTTTCAATTTTGTTTACGTTTGTTTAAGATAATAAAAATACCGGTAATTTACCGGTATTCCGGTTTTAAAACGAAAAATTACCGAAATACCGGTATTGAAATTTTCGATCGGTATTGCATTCCCTAGTTGCTACGACAACCATGTTTCCATGTATCCATGTATCAACCATAATTACCATGTTTCATTTTAACAATCATTTCTGTACCATCCACCACGAATCAGGTTCCCATTGCTCAGTGTGGTCCAGGCCAAATCAGACAAGTGTAAAACCTAGGCCCTGGTCAGTTTCTGGTGCCGACAGACAGAATACTGACTTCCAATTCTACGATGAGCAACTATCACCGTCATCTCATAATAATGACTCACTGCTCATGGACGGCATGGATAATGGTAAAATATAAAAAGCCACAGTAATAAGAAACACATTATTTCATACAAACATTCGAAATGCCTTTTTCCTGGTGTGTCTGTTAAAATGGTGTGTTATTTTTATAGAATTGACTGGTATCAACAAAAATATGGTCGGTACAGCAACCGGTGGTAGTATACTGGGTATTAGTCCTGGTACGATTGGGACAAGTCTGGTTGGAGGAAGTATTGTTGGAATTACGCCTGGTATGTAATAAAAATTTTATAATAACAATATCATTATGTGCTGATTTTTTTTATTTTTTGTTATTTTATAGGTGCTGCTTTAGAACGACGAAGTGTGAAAGAATTGGCTGCAGGTTTGAACCGTATTGAAAACCCTAGAGGTACTTAAAAAATGATTTTATCATTGTTAAATATATTTTCATAATTATTTTTTATTTATATTTCATTTATTATTTTTTTCGATTTTTGTTTAGATTTGCCTCCAAAGTCTTTAGACAACATACCACGTAAATCAATTTCTAAAAGCAAATTGATTACATCCAGGTTTGAGGTTTGTTATCATTTTTTTTTAATTTCTTTATTAACATTAGTATTATTTTTATGTTTATATTTTATATATTTTTAATTTTATTATTAACATTTATAATATTAATTTTTAGTTAAAGAATTATTGCAGTTTATAGGTTTTTTTTGCTAATTTTGTCGACGATGTTTTATCGACGTTTCGAATGATTCTGAATCGAATGAGACCAAATTTAGAAAAAGTATGTGCGTGTGTGTACATGTGAGCCTAAATTCAATCTGTTGTCGTCAATTTTTAAAAAACGTATTGCAACATTATCTTGACGATTTGCAAATTTTTTTTCACGATTTACAACATTTTTAGACGATATGTAACGTTTTTAGGCAATTTTCAATTTTTCAGACAAATTGCAACATTTTTAGACGACCTGCAACATTTTTAGATGTTCTACAATATTGTTAGACGATTTGCAACATTTTTAGACGATTTGCAAGATTTTTAGACGATGTGCAACATTTTTAGGCGATCTGCAACATCTTTACATGATCTACAACATTTGCAACATTATCTTGACGATTTGCAAATTTTTTTTCACGATTTACAACATTTTTAGACGATATGTAACGTTTTTAGGCAATTTTCAATTTTTCAGACAAATTGCAACATTTTTAGACGACCTGCAACATTTTAGATGTTCTACAATATTGTTAGACGATTTGCAACTTTTTTAGACGATTTGCAAGATTTTTAGACGATGTGCAACATTTTTAGGCGATCTGCAACATCTTTACATGATCTACAACATTTTCTGGAGATTTGAAACATTTTTAGAATATTTGCAACATTTTCAGAAGGGTTTTCTCATTTTTAGACGATTTCCCACATTTTTAGATAATCTACACAACACTAAGACGATCTGCAATATTTTTAAACAATTTGCAACACTTTAAGACTATCTGCTCCATTTTTAGACGAACTGCAACATTTTTAGACAATCTGCAACGTTTTCACTCAATTTGCAATATTTTTAGACAATCTGGAACACTTTCTGGTGATTTGCAACACTTTTAAACGATTTTCAACACTTTCAGAGAATTTGCAACATTTTTAAACGATCTACGACATTTTTAGACACTATGCAACACTTTGAGAAGATCTGCAACATTTTTAGACAATTTGCACTTTTGAAGGGTTTGCATCCCTTTTAAACATTTTTTTTTCAGACAGCCTGCAATTTTTTTAGACGATTTGCAACATTCTCAAAATTTAACTTTAATTTTACTTTTAAAATATTTTCAGACGTTTTGCAACACTTCCAGACAATTTGCAACATATTTACTCAATTTGCAACATTTTTAGACGATTTGCAACATTTTCAGACTTTTTGCAACATTTTTAGACGGTCTGCAACATTTTTAGAGAATCTATAATTCAGACTATTTACAATAATTTGCAACACTTTGAGACGATCTGAAACATTTTTAGTCGATCTGCAACATTTTTAGACGAACTTCAACGTAATTTTCAAATAATCTAAAATATTTTCAGACTATCTATGACATTTTAAAATTTTCTAAAGTCATTTTAAGACTATGTAGAACATTTTCAGACTATTTAGAACATTTTCAAACTTTCAAGAATTTTTTTAGCCTATCTAGAATATTTTTAAGCAATCTAGAACATTTTAAGACTATCTGGAATAATTTCAGATTATCCAGAACATTTTCAGACAACGTAAAATATTTTCAGTCTTAACAAAATACCTTCGGTCTTTATTTAAATGACAAATGTGAATATTTTTGCGTTTTTAATAAAATTTAATTAGTCTATATCAACATCCTAAAATATTATAGGCCTATCTATGGAAAGTGGTTTAATTGTAAAAAATCATGATCGATTGGAATAATAGATAGATAGCTTTGTTATGTTATTATTTGAATTTAAATATATATATTTTTTTAGGAGACTCTGGCTGAAGCATTACAACAACCAGCAAAAAGATCTGTAACTCGACATAGTATAGTTCGTGACAACCGTGACTCAGTTGATGTATGACACTCCTGTACATCATTCATTATTTATGGCTTAGTTTAAAATTAAAATCTCAGTATTTTTATAAAATTATGTTTCTCATAATCCTGCTTTAAAATCGCTGGTTCGAGCTGCATTGGTAAAAGTGTTCTTTTGCTTGGAAATCAAGAATGTTGATTCAATCTCATATGATGCATCACGAGATAGTTAGATACATTCCAAAGGTTATATTTTATTCATTGCTTTTAATTGATTTTTATTTATATGTCTCTGTATCGGTCACAATAATAAAAAACGATAATTATCATATGTAAGAGTTAACAAGTCAAATTTAACAAGTAGGTGCTGTACTGACGGACAACAAGATAGAAATTATATGAAATAAATAGTATAGTAGAATAAATATAAACCTAAATATTCGACTTCATCATAGTTTTTCCCAAGAGGGAAATTCTTCAGTTGCCAAATTTTATAACTATAATACTATTTAATGGTTTTTTAATAATAAAAATATATTTTTATTATTGTTTACTGCTGTACAGTACCTCTGATCTTATGTCATGTGATGTGATATTTTGATATTTATTTAATAAATTCTATATTAATTTAGATGTAATATAGAAATTATACTGGTTTTATTAGTGAATATACGAAAACTATTCTTAATATTCTTTGAACCTGTATAGAGTTGCCCTTTTATAATTACTTTAGCCTATTATGACTTATATTTAATCAAATAAAAAGAACTACAAGAATAATGATATTTTATTTTTGTATATAAATTTATCCTATACTTCCTGTAATTTTACCGATTTTTTCATTTATTTATTGTCTATAATGTAAATATTATCTTGAAGATGTATTCATTTGTTTAGTTTTTAAATATTTTATTATTTACCATTTGTTTACTGAGTTATACGATTTTATAGTTTGGCGATTTTCTTCGTCATGATTTTGTTCCAAAAGTTAATTTTTGGTAAATGCGGTTGTATAAAGAATTTTATAAGTTTTTTTATTTATATTGAACAAAAGTTATGTGTTTGAACAAAATTTTGCACAATCGAAAAACGCGCAAACAATTTATTTGCAAAGTTATACGATACGATTTTATACTTTGACGATTTTTTTCGTCATGTTTTTGTTCCAAAAGTTAATTTTTGGTAAATGCGGTTGTATAGAGAATTTTATAAACTTTTTATTTATATTGAATTATTTATATTGAAAGTTATGTGTTTTAATAAATTTTAGCACAATTGCAGTCGAAAAACGCGCAAACAATTTATTTGCAAAGTTATACGATACGATTTTAAAGTTTGACGATTTTTTTCGTCATGTTTTTGTTCCAAAAGTTGATTTTTGTAAATGCGGATGTATAGAGAATTTTATAAGCTTTCTATTTATATTTAACAAAAGTTATGTGTTTTAACAAAATTTTGCACATTTGCAGTCGAAAAACGCGCAAACAATTTATTTGCAAAGTTATACGATACGATTTTAAAGTTTGACGATTTTTTTCGTCATGATTTTGTTCCAAAAGTTGAAAATTGGTAAATGCAGATGTATAGAGAATTTTATAAGCTTTTTATTTATATTAAACAAAAGTTATGTGTTTTAACAGAATTTGGCACATTTGCAGTCGAAAAACGCGCAAACAATTTATTTACAAAGTTATACGATACGATTTTAAAGTTTGACTATTTTTTTCGTCATGTTTTTGTTCCAAAAGTTGAAAACTGGTAAATGCAGATGTATAGAGAGATTCATAAGCTTTTTATTTATTTCAAACAAAAGTTATATGTTTTAACAAAATTTGCAAAGTTATACGATACGATTTCAAAGTTTGACGTTATTTTTCGTCATGATTTTGTTCCAAAAGTTGATTTTATATTTATATTTTAGATAACATTATTAGACGATGTACAACATTTTCAAACGAACTGCAATTTTTTCAGACTATCTACAATATTTTCAGGCTATTTGCAATATTTTAGACAATATGCAACTAGTTCGTAGAGCATTTTCACACTATCTAGAACATTTTTAGATTATCTAAAAAAATTACACAATCTAAAACATTTTCTGATTGTATCTAGGACATTTTAAAATTATCTAAGGTCCCCTAGTTTTAAATTTGAATCGAAATTTTGTAATTTTGTAGCTATGTATTGTACACTTTTTGCAAAAAAAAATTAAAATGTTTAATAAAAGTACTCAGTATCAATAAACAGTTAAAATATTAATCAGAAGAAGTGATTAAAACATATAAGTAACATAAATAACTATAAAATCAAATAATAAATATAATAAGTATATATTTGAATTTAAAAATAACGTTTTAAAATTTTGTTCCCATCTTTTATCTATGCTTTTGTTTCTATCAAGTAGATGGCATACAGTGTCTCATCTATATTTACGTTTTTCAGTCATCTTCGGATTCGTGATTGGTGTGTGTTTATAACCTCACAATTTTATATTCATAATTTAAAAAAACACGTGTGTGGTTTTGTGAATAATAATAAGAAAGAATATATGATTATAACTAAGTACGTGGTAAATCCAGATATTATATAGTGTGCTTAACTTATATTTAATAATAAGGAAGTATTTAGAAACTTGGTTTGTGTACTAATTTAAGTTAAAGTTAGAGTAGTAATAGAATCTAGTAGTAAGAAAATGCTTCAATATCCATATAGTTTTAGTATAATTCATAGTCATCCATAATTGTTGAAATTCATAGTTTTATTATTATTTTAGCAATGGCTGAGGTAACAGTAAAGAAAGAAAAGAAGCACAAGGTGAAAAATTTGGGAGAAAGACAGAAAACCGAAACATTCCACTTAGAACCTTCTGAGAAAAAACCTCAATTAGATACTTCACAATGGCCATTGCTGTTAAAGGTATATACATATAATACAAATATATATATGTATATATATATATATATATATATATATATATATATAATGCATTACAATTTGCATTGTGATTTACTGGTAACTTTTGTAGAACTTTGATCGCCTGAATGTCCGTACTAATCATTACACACCATTGCCCTATGGGTCTTCACCGTTGAAGCGTGAGCTTTCAGAATATATCAAATCCGGCTGTTTGAATGTAGACAAGCCTTCAAATCCTAGCTCACACGAGGTCGTGGCTTGGATTAAGAGGATTTTGAAAGTGGAGAAGACTGGACACAGTGGGACACTTGATCCTAAAGTAACAGGTAAGGAAATGATAATTGACATTGTTATTTATATGAAAAGTTATATACGGTTTTTATTATTCCAGGATGTCTTATTGTTTGTATCGACAGAGCTACTAGATTAGTCAAATCTCAGCAAAGTGCTGGTAAAGAGTACGTTGCTGTTTTTAAACTTCATTCAGCAGTAGAAAGTGTTGCAAAAGTACGTACACACATGCACACACACATCTATTTTTATATTTATCATTAATGTTTATTTTGCAATAGGTTAACCAAGGTTTAGAAAAGCTACGTGGTGCCTTGTTCCAAAGGCCCCCTTTAATATCAGCTGTAAAGCGTCAACTACGTGTAAGAACTGTCTATGAATCTATCCTGCACGATTATGATGCAGAGCGCAACATGGGAGTATTCTGGGTCAGCTGTGAAGCCGGTTCCTACATCCGTACAATGTGTGTGCATTTAGGTTTAGTTTTAGGCGTAGGCGGTCAAATGTTGGAACTCAGACGTGTCAGGTAAAATAATACTAAAAAAATATCCTCCAAGGTTTCAATGAGGCTTAAAATATGTCTATTACCACCAGGTCTGGTATCCAAGGAGAGGAAGAAGGCATGGTGACAATGCACGATATCTTAGACGCACAATGGTTATATGAGAATCACAAAGATGAAAGTTACTTGAGGAGGATTGTTAAGCCTTTAGAAGTACTTCTAGTTCGTCATAAACGTATCATAATGAAAGACAGTGCTGTGAATGCTGTTTGTTACGGTGCCAAAGTTATGTTACCGGGCGTCTTGAGGTATGAAGATGGAATCGAGATGAATCAGGAAATTGTTATTGTTACTACTAAGGGAGAAGCTATTGCATTAGGTAAATATTATTTATTTATAATTTCATACATATATATATATATATATATATATATATATATATATATATATTATAAACATAAGGCTCATGCTAATATATTACAAATTATATTACATATTATTCAATTTATTCATTTTTTTATTATTTCTAGTTTTCTCATAATTTTATAAGATTTTTTGTCAATTGATTTTTATAGTTAGGTATTTATTTATTTTTTATTATTTTTAGTTAATTTATAATTATTTTATCAATTTATTTTTTATGATTCGAGTATTTATTTATTATTATTTATCTGAACATCTATTATTTCATTCATTTATTTATTATTTAATTAGTTAATTAATTTATTTAGTTAATTCATTTATTTAATTTAATTTTTTAATATAATTATTCAATAAATTTATTTAAATAATTAATTCATAATTTGATTTATTATTTATTTATTTATTAATAATTTATATATTCATTCTTCAGTATTTATTATATTTTATTTTATCTAATCATTATTTAATTCATTTATTTGAATAATTCATTTTTTATTCATCATTTATTTGATTTATTTATTATCCATGATTTATTTACTTTATTTATTTAGTATTTTTTATTATATATTTAATTAGTTTTTTGTTCATAATTTATTTTTATTTTAAATTTAAGTAATTAACTCATAATTTAATTTATTATCTATTGGATTATTTATTTTTTAACTATATATTTATATATTCATTCTTCAGTATTTATTATTTTTTATTTTATTATTTATTTAATCATTATCATTTAATTAATTTACTATTTATTAATTTCATTTTATATTTAATATTAAATTATTTTTTTATTTATCATTATTCAATTCATTTATTTAATTAGTTAATTAATTTATTTAGTTAATTCATTTATTTAATTTAATTTTTTTAATATAATTATTCAATAAATTTATTTATATAATTAATTCATAATTTGATTTATTATTTATTTATTTATTAATAATTTATATATTCATTCTTCAGTATTTATTATATTTTATTTTATCTAATCATTATTTAATTCATTTATTTGAATAATTCATTTTTTATTCATCATTTATTTGATTTATTTATTATCCATGATTTATTTACTTTATTTATTTAGTATTTTTTATTATATATTTAATTAGTTTTTTGTTCATATTTATTTTTATTTTAAATTTAAGTAATTAACTCATAATTTAATTTATTATCTATTGGATTATTTATTTTTTAACTATATATTTATATATTCATTCTTCAGTATTTATTATTTTTTATTTTATTATTTATTTAATCATTATCATTTAATTAATTACTATTTATTAATTTCATTTTATATTTAATATTAAATTATTTTTTATTTATCATTATTCAATTCATTTATTTAAATAATTAATTATTGGATTATTTATTTATGTATTTAATTATTTATTTATTCATTTTTTATTTTTTTATTTATTTTTTTATTTAATCATTATTATTTAATTAATTTAATATTTATTATTCATCATTATTTAATTCATTTGTTCAAATAATTAATTCTTGAATTATTTATTTATGTAATCATTTATATATCAATTTTTTATTATTTATTCATTATTTTTTATTTAATTTATTTAATTAGTTAATTATTCAATTAATTTTTTAATATTCATTTTTTTATTTAACATTATTTAATTCATTTATTTAAATAATTAATTTATTGATTATTGCATTATTTATTTGTTATTTAATTATTTATATATTCATTTTTTATTAATCATTAATTATTTTTTATTTAATTTATTTAATTAGGAAATTAATTAATTTAATACTTATTCATTAATTCATCTATTTATTTATTATTTTTTATTTAATATATTATTCAATTAGTTAATTAATTAATCAAATATTTATTTATTCATTATTTATTAATTCATTATTTCTTTAATTTATTTATTATTTAATTCCTTAATTTATTTGTTTTTAAATTAATTTATCTATTCATCTATTTTTTATTCATTTAATTATTTCATTCATAATTTATTAATTTATTTGTTTATTATTTAATTATTTTATTCATTATTAAAATAATTTTTTAATTTATTTTCACCAAATTAATATTTGTTTTTTATTTATTACTTAATTTCTTATTTATTTATTCATTATTTATTCACTATTTCATTAATGTAAATATTATTTAATTAATAAATTTATTCAATATTGACTTATTTTTGGTTCATTTATAATTATTCTTATAAGTGATTTATATATTTATTTTTACTATTTAATAAGTAGTATTTATTAAGTATTTATTATTTAATTAATTATTTATTTTTAATTAATTTATTCTTAATTTTTATTTTTCATTATTTTTAGTTAATTTATTATTTTTATGTTATATTTATTCCATTATAAGACTTTATTATTTAAATAATTAATTTATTATATATTTAATATTTTAGTTGATTTATAAATATTTTTGAAAATATTTTATTTTCATGATTTAAGTATTTGTTTATATAGTATTTAATTCACATATTATATATTTATAATTAAATTTATTTTAAGTTTATGTTTAGTTAATTTATAATTACAATTAAAATATTTTATTTAACAAATTCATAAGTACTTTTTCATTATAAGTATTTATACAAAATAAGCATTTTGTATGCCAAATTTAATTAAAACTCTTGTTTATTAAATTTTTTTCTCCAGCAATCGCTCTAATGACCACAGCAACAATGATGTCATGCGACCATGGAGTCTGTGCTAAATTAAAACGTGTGATAATGGAGCGAGATACATATCCCAGAAAATGGGGCTTAGGACCTAAGGCATCACAAAAGAAGTCTTTGATAGCCGCAGGAAAATTAGACAAACACGGAAAGCCAAATGAAAACACACCAAAGGAATGGCTTACTGGATACGTAGATTACAGGTAAGGAAATTGATAAAAGTAATAATGGTAATAATGGATTAATTTGATTGATAATATCTAATGAATTAAATAATTATGAATAAAAAAATAAATATTAAATAGAAAATTAATTGAATAATAAATAGTAAATTAAGTAAAAAATAATTAAAAAATAATAAAAAATAAAAAATAAAAAATGAATATTCTTATAATTTTTATTATAAATAATTACATAAATAAATAATTCAAGAATTAATTATTTGAACAAATGAATTAAATAATGAATAATAAATATTAAATTCATTAAATAATTAATTATATAATAAATAATAAGGTTGTCAACTATCTCCCTTCCGCCTTTTTGTATTATAAACCAAGAGCAAAATAGCGGAAGGGAGATATTTGACAACCTAATAATAAATTAAATAATAGTAAATTAATTAAATAATAATGATTAAATAAATAATAAAATAAAAAAAATATTTGCAGTATTAAGAAAGAACCGGGGGATGAACAAGAGGCTTCTCAATCAGCTACTAACGGGTCTGAAGAACCTACAAAGAAAGTAAGTGTTCTTTATTTATTTATTTATTTATTCATTTTACAAGCCGTCGGTATAATAATATTATTATAAGGCTTAAGTCAATATTTTACAGGTTTAATATAATTTAATTCATTATTAGCTATTTTATTACTTATTTATTTATTATTTAATTTATTTACTATAAACTTATTTATATTTAGTTAATTTTAATTATTTTTAAATATAACTAGTTTGTTTGTTGCAAGTATTTTTTTAAAAATTTAATAAGTATTTTAATAATTTTTACAATACTTTTATAGTATAATTATTTTATTTAACAAATTTTTGGTTATTTTATAATATTTTAACAAATTTAAGTGTTTTATATTATTGTTATTATTATTATTATTATTATTATCATTTTTATTATTATTGTTAAGTATTTTTACAATATAAGTTGTTTTCTTTTACAAATTTTTAGGTATTTTGATGAAGGAAATATTTTGTTTCACAATTTAATTTTTTAAGTGTTTTTAAAATATAAGTTTTTGGTTAACTATTAACTTCTCGTAGGGTAAGTTATAGTAATCGCAAAAAAATCGAAAATGAAAATTTTTATATATCTTTACGTTTCAGAGGTTTCTGAATATTTTGGCATACCTTAGAAAAAATGGATGTATGTGTGTGTGTGTGTGCGTAGTATGTATGTGTGTGCGGATACAAATTTTCGTCGACGATTTCGGGAACACGGATCAACCGATTTGAATAATTCAAAAAACATTCGATTCGTATTGATAAGGAGACGTGCTGATTAGTTTTTGGCGAAGTCAGGTCTAGCCGTTCCGAAGATACGGGGCAAAAAGTGCCAAAAACGGTACCTCAGTTTTTGAGAGAACGGAGCCTCCGATTTTAATAATTCAAAAAACATTTTACTTGTATTGACAAGATGAAGAATTGATAAAATTTTCATGAAGGCAGGTCTAGCGGTTTCGGAGATTTAGTAAAAAAAGTAAATAAAAATGCCATTTGGCGGTCAAAAATAATAATTAGACTTATGCACATCAGATTATCAGATATTTTATAGAGATTTTAACAATAAGTATAAATTTTGTTTACATTCCTATGGGTTCCGTACCAATGTTTACGCTTTAGACGGCGACGCGGCGCTTACGCGCTTTGATAATTCGTCTTTATGCAGTTGAAGCAGTACGATTGCTTTGAAATAAAGTTTAGATCTTCCAAAATATGTCAAGATAAAAAAAACATTCTTTAAAAAAAAAAAAAAATTAAAAAAAAAAAAATTTTTTTTTAATTTTTTTATTCAAAAAAAAGTAATTTTTTGTCCAATTTATAGTTTCTCGAAAATCTTATTTTTTCGAAGTAAAATGTTTTTAAAAATGTTAATCGTTTTTAAAAAAAATAATAATATTTGGTACGGGAAGTTCCATCAATTTGCCTTAGGGCACGATGCCTTAATTGCCTTAAGACAGAATTCCACTTACAGCTAGTTTTATTTTTCTTTCAGCGTAAGTTAAGTTCTGGTGATGCGTCAGGAAGTGGTGAAGCAATGGAT